CCCCCCCCGATCTTTAAATCCCGTCCCCAAAACTCTTGTGTCTCCTTTGGCTTTTGACTCTGACTTGATTTTTCGTTCTTGTTTTGGCGTCGCCTATCTCACGGCGTATTCATTTCATCGGGACAGCGCACACGAATCAACACCGGAAGAAACAGCGTCGGCGTGTTTCCAAGCGCTCACTTGGAGAAAGGAGAGCTTTTGACTTTGGCCGGGTGCAGAACATGAAAGAAGCCGCATTTGGAACGACGGCGCCGATTGAAAAATCACCGTCCGGTGGGCACCGATTCCGCCAACGCGGCAAAAGGCTCGGTGCCGGCCGGCCCCGGCGTGGGCTCATCTCATCTCATCTCATCTCATCTCGACTGCACTTTCAAACATGAAATGAAGAGCAACTTGTGAATTTTTACCCGTGAACAAATTGCAGACGAAGACCCTCCTCGGGAGCTTTCTGCCTCTTGAGTGACCCGATCAGCTTCCTGCGCAGCTGCGGCAGGTCGTCCTTGTAAACCTGCGGGCGCAAAGGCCAAACGCTCAGATGTCGGAAGAAGAAGACGACCCCCCCCCCCACCACCACCAAAAAAAACATGGCGGGGGGGTTGGAACACGGCCGTGTCTTCAGGTCACCTGGCGCTCGTAGTTGTGCTGGGATTCCCGCTCGATGTCCGAGTCGATCTCGGGGACGTCGGATATGTCCGAGTCCGAGTCGCCGCTGTTGGAGTCCGCGTAGCCTTCTACGATCACGTCAACTTTTACACACGGATCTTCTTACCCATGAAGAAAACTTTGGGCGCGACGGCGATCCGCGCCGCCGCCCTCCCCTTTTTCGGATCTCGGACAATCGTTTGCTAGCAAGAGCGCGACGACGGCGGGGGAGGTCGAAGTGCACGTTAGCGTGTGGCAATGCGTCTGCCGAGCGCCGATTTTGCGCTGCGACCGCGGGCGGGACGCGGGAGTTGACCGTAGCGTCGCCCGACTCCAGTCAGGCGACCTTACCTTGGAGGAGGGGTTCCAGGACGCCGTTCGTGACGCCTTCGGGCAAGAAGCGCCACTGGAAGACGGCGTGGTCGGCCCCGCCGGTGCTGACCAACCACCGCAGGTCGCTGGACCAGCGCACGTTGGTGACGTGGGCGGAATGGCCGATGTACTTCTTGAATTTGGCGCCTGTGGGACGGGAGAAAGCGCTCAGAGCGGCCGGCCGGCTGAGCGCGGGACGGAGCACGCAGCACGGAGCACGGGACGGACCTTTCTTGAGGCACGGGAAGCGGAAGAGTTTGACGAGGCCCAGGTCGTCGCCGGCGGCCAGCACGGAGCCGCCGTAGTTGGCGTCCACCGAGTTGACGTCGGTCACGTCGGAGTATTTGGGCCAGATGCCGTTGACTTCCGGGCCCAGCACGCCGGTCCACGTCATCCAGTGGGCCCCCTTGGCCTCCTCCTTGGACACCGGCTTGCCCGCTGTCGAGGAGGTCAAAGGTCTCCATCACTCGCCAATTCTTTGCTTTGGCCCGCCGGGGCGGGACCTCAAGTCGCACGACGCCACTCCAGCTCGACCGAGCGTCTGAACGCAACGGAGGCCTCTTTGGGACCGGCGTGCGTGCCTTAAAGACTCTCCCGAACCAACGAGGAAACCTTGCGAGTCTTGCCTGTTTCCGCTTTTCCAGAGAGCCTTTGTTTGTTTGGTTTTGGTCATTTGACGCGTCGGGCACGGAACTCCCAGAAAGAGTGCGCTTGCGACATCCCAATTGAGCGGGAAAAACTCCACCCGCTGCTACCCGTCTTGGGGGGCTGCCATTTTGTCCCGTGGCGCCCTCTCGCCGTCGAGTGACGTTGGCGCCACGGCGGCAAGGGGGGGCCAGCCATTTTCTGGCTTTGGTGCCATTTGGTGACACGGCAGGGCACATCGAGTCGACAGCGGGTGGCAGTGCAGGAGGCAGCCCCCGCTTCATTCCGAGGTCGCCTGAAGACTCAAAGCGCTTCAAGGAGGCAAGACGTCATGGCCAAGTTCTCGAGTGACCGACCCTCACTTCTGCTGACGGGAGCGAAAGAACAAGACCGCCGATACAAGGCGGGGGCGCCGGCCTCGGAGAGAGGGCGACAAGCACGGAGAGGAGCCAGAGGCAAAACCAAAGGAGACAAGGTTTTTCAAGACCTTCAACCGGCTTGACATGTTGTGGGGAACGAGGCGTCACTCGAACGGGGGAGGGGGGGGGGGGGAACGAGATTTTGGCCGGATCGAAAACATTGCAAGCCGACGGCCATTCGGAATTTGCCCACTGCGGTCGCTCGGAACGGACGACCGCAACGCTCTTTTACGTCGGAGTCAGCCGATCCTCCACCAAGCTTCTCCAGTTGGTCCACATTGCCGCCGCTCGCCTCTTGTCTGGTACTCGTAAGAGGAAGCGCATGCCTCCGACTCTGGCGTCCCTTTCTCTTCAGTTTGCCTACCGGGCAAACAGGTCTGTGGAGGACGCAGTCAACATAGGTCTGCACTACATCCTCGAGCACCTCGACAGCACAGGGACCTACGCAAGGATCCTGTTTGTGGATTTCAGCTCTGCGTTCAACACCATCATCCCGGAACTCCTCACCCCCAAACTTCTCCACCTCGGTGTGTCCCCTACGATCTGCCAGTGGATCCTCAGCTTCCTGACGGGTCGGACACAACAGGTGAGACTGGGAGCAACAACATCATCAACACGCACCACTAGCACTGGAGCCCCACAGGGATGTGTCCTCTCTCCACTGCTCTTCTCCCTCTACACAAACGATTGCACCTCAACAAGTCCAGCTGTCAAACTCATAAAGTTCGCAGACGACACCACGGTCATCGGTCTCATCAAAGACGGCGACGAGTCTGCGTACCGACAACAAGACTGTAGAGATGATCGTGTACTTCAGGAAACATCCTTCACCACAGTTGCCCCTCACACTATCCAACTGCCCCGTGACAACCGTCGAGACCTTCAAGTTCCTGGGAATCACAGTCTCCCAGGACATGAAGTGGGAAGTCAACACCATCTCCATCCTGAAAAAGGCCCAGCAGAGAATGTACTTCCTGAGGCTGCTGAAGAAGCATGGCCTGCCACAGGAGGTCCTACGTCAGTTCTACACGGCAGTCATCGAATCAATCCTGTGTTCTTCCATCACGGTTTGGTTTGGGGCCGCCACAAAAAAGGACAAAATCCGACTTCAATGGACAATTAGGACGGCAGAAAAAAATCATTGGCACCGCCCTACCCACTCTTGAGGACTTACACACTGCAAGAATCAAAACAAGGGCACGGAAAATCCTA